AGGAATCCAACTGATTTTTGTATGTTTATCTTGTATCCTGAAACTTTGCTGAAATCTTCTATTAGTTCCAGTAGTTTTCTTGTGGATTCTTCGGGGTTTTCTGTGTGTAAGATTATATCATCTGCAAATAGAGAAACTTTTGCTTCTTCCCTACCAATTTGGATGTGTTTTATTTCTTTTTCTAGCCTAATTGCTCTGGCTGGACCTCTAGCATAATGTTGAATAAGTGTGGTGATAAAGGGCATCCTTGTCTGGTTCCCGTTCTCAAAGGGAATGCTTTCAAAGTCTCTCCATTTAGGATGATGTTGGCTGTTGGCTTTGTATAAATGCCCTTAATTATTTTGAGGAATTTTTCTTGTATTCCTGTTTTGTTGAGAGTTTTTATCATGAATTCGTGTTGGACTTTGTCAAATGCCTTTTCTGCATCGATTTTTAAGATCATGTGGTTCTTGTCTTTTGTTTTATTTATGTGATGGATTACATTGATTGTTTTTCTAATATTGAACCATCCTACATAAGTGGTATAAATCCCATTTGATCATGATGAATTATTGATATGTTGCTGAATTCTATTGACTAGAATTTTGTTGAGGATTTTTGCATCAATGTTCATGAGGGATATTGGTCTGTAATTTTCTTTTTTGTGGTCGCTTTACCTGGTTTTGGTATCAGGGTTATGCTGGCTTCATAGAATGAGTTTGGGAGTATTCCATCCTTTTCAATGCTCTGAAATACCTTTACTAGTGCTGTTCACTCTTCTCTGAAACTTTGGTAGAATTCTCCAGTGAAGCCTTCCAGGCCAGGGCTTTTTTTTTTGTTGGAAGTTTTTTAATTATCTTTTCAACCTCTTTTTTTGTTATGCATTTATTTAGTTGTTCTACTTCTGTTTGTGTTAGTTTAGGTAGGTAGTGAGTTTCTAGAAATTTGCACATTTCCTCTAGGTTTTCAGATTTGTTAAGAGTACAATTTTTTATAGTATTATGTTACAATTCTTTTAATTTCAGTTGGGGCTGTTGTGGTATCAGCCATCTCATTTCTTATACGGGTTATCTGCTTCCTTTCCTGTTTTTCTTTTGTCAGTTTGGCCAATGGTTTATCAATTTTGTTGATCTTTTAAAGAAGCAGCTTTTGGTCTTGTTAACTTTCAGTTGTTCAGATTATTTCATTTAATTCTACTCTAATTCTTATTATTTCCTTCTGGCGCCTCAGGGCTACTTTTGCTGCCCTCTCTGTCTACTGTTCTAGTTGTAGGGTTAATGTTTTGATTATGGTTCTTTCTTGTTTTTGGATGTGTGCATTTATTGCTATAAACTGACCCCTGAGCACTACTTTTGCTGTGTCCAAAAGGTTCTGGTAGGATGTGTTTTCATTCTCGTTTGATTCTATGAATTTCTTTATTCCATCCTTAATTTCTTCTGTAACTCAGTAGTTTTGGAGCAAGGAGTTGTTCAGTTCCCATGTGTTTGATTTTTTTCCTTGCTTTTTCTGTTATGGATGTCTACTTTTATGGCTTTTTGGTCAGAAAAGATGCTTTGTAATATTTCAACGCTTTGGATTTTGTTACGGCTTGCTTTATGGTCTAATATGTGGTCTCTTCTGGAGAATGTTCCATATGCGTTGGAAAAGAAAGTGTACTTGGCTGCTGTTGAGTGAAGTGTTTGGTATATGTCTGTGAGATCAAGTTGGTTGATTGTAGCATTTAACTCTTCCGTGTCTTTGTTGAGCTTCTTTCTGGATGTTCTGTTTTTCATCAAAAGTGGCGTGTGAAGTCTCTTACTACTATTGTGGAGCTCTCTTTCTCTCTTCTCAGTGCTATTAGAGTTTGTTTTGTGTATTTTGGAGCCCTGTCGTTGGGTGCGTAAATATTTATTATAGTTATATCTTCCTGGTGTATTGACCCTTTAATCATTATATAGTGTCCTTCTTTATCCTTTGTGGTGGATTTTACTTTAAAGTCTATTTTGTCAGAGATTAATATTGC